TATTATGGAGCAAAAAGCTGTCAGCTTCAAGTCTGAAGCTGACAGCTTTTTCTCCATTCCGATCAGCTTGTTACAGGTTACACAGCAGGGAAATCCTTCCCGCTGTGTAACCTGTCATGGACGGAGCGCTGCCTGTTAATTTCAAGCAGCGCTGCATCCAGCTTTTGACAGGTTGTTAGGTTACACAGCAGCGGGTTTCCCCACTGCTTGTGTAACCTAACTAGTGAGGCAAAAGCTGTCACAGCCTCTACTCTTTGTTAGAGGTGTGAGCTCTGTGGATGGTTTGGACCAATGGCAAAGTTCCATTGGTCCAAGCCATCCAATCAAAAAAAGAACAAAAAAAGCCACTGAGGCCATCGATACCGATGCCTCAGCAGTGACGAGCAATTGAGGGACAGGGAGGCTCCTCCCTGTCTCCTCTCTTCCTCCTTCACACTAGCTTGGGGACCGGGTTGGGGGCGTGGCTTTGGCGGACGGGGGGCGGGACTTACTGGGGGCAAGGCTAGGGAATGCCTCACCCGGAACCAGAGGTACCGATTGTCACTGGTGTACAGTATTCTTATGCTCCTTGGCTCCATCTAGTGGTAGTAATGCTGTGTGAATGGCATTCACCTAGCTATCTTCTGGTCACAAGAATTACAAATCAGTCCTCGATGCACACAGATTGGGTATAGCATATATACACTAATTTACTAACAAATGTGGTTTGCTATGGAGTTCACACTGTGGCATCCAAATGTCTCTGGCTAAGCTGTGACATGTCTTAAATATAAATGTTTTGGGTCTGTCTAAATGCTGTTAACATTCTTAAATGTGTGCACCGTGTAGTAACAAAGGGCATTATGTGTGCACTGTTAACAATTGGGGCCCGTTCATGCTTTTCGGATCTAGTTGTAATATGTTACCGGACATGCGGTAATGTGTGATATTTTGCACGCTTATATATGCTCAGGTACATTGTCACTTGCTGTAGTTGTGCCGCCCCAACAGGGGCATAGAATATGAGATGCATAGCCTCAGTTAATATTAGCATTGTTATATAGGTTAGAATTTATATAGTGTGATTTGCCTAACTATTTTCTCATAGCTAAATTCATGTGTTATCCTATGCTGCCATCTAGTGGCCTTTTGTTGTAACAAACATGCTTTCTGTAATTATTCCTCATGTGACGATGTATTTCCCCCTAGTGTAGCCCCTTCCTGCTTCCTGTGTGCAGTACTTCCTGTGTCATGGGCACAGTGGAAAGCCACATGTAACAAGGACACACATGTAATCTGCACAGTACGTAGGAAAGGCATCATTTTCTGACCGCACAATACTATAACCGTTCAACTGCTGTTCCTATCATCTGCTGTAAAGAATAAACACCTCTTTTGAATGAATCGGTATTGACGAGTTCAGCTATCTGACGAGGATTGTCCGCAGTGAGTATATCTGCTTATACAGGCCAGGCATAGAGGTCTCAGCAAGGGATATATTTCGCTATCACAACGATCGGAGTCAGAATAGTAGTTAATTCTTTTGTACACATGTGTGCATCTTTGTGCACATGTGCAGAGGTTCATACACTAGTGAGAGTACAAGATTCCATACATTGGTTCTAGTAATAAAGACTAATTATCACATTATCCTTTTTTATCATTTTCAGGTAAAATATTGGCAGGTACAGGATGGTGAGCACACTTTGTTAAAGCAGAATGCACAAAAACAGTATTATTTGGATGTTCATAGCACACAGCAAACTAGGACCATACTGTACACATTGAACATCACTGTGCTATCAGATGGATAGGTTCAAGGACTGTGTTTGCTTAAGGACTGTGTTTGCTGTGTGCTCATTCATCTGCATGCTCACGAGGCTGTGGTGTGCCTGTATGGAAGCAGCTGATCCTTGTTCTTGTTCCTTTGCTTTAGTAAATCAGGATCAGAGAATTAGATACATTTGACCAGTACAGTATTCTGCCTACAGACTGTGAGATTTTCTAATAGTTACGTGGAATTTTGCTACAGCGAAGAGAAAAACACTTGCTGTGATAGATGCAAACAATTGTAAAACATGGCATATTTATAGATTCTTGCAGAGCCTTGCGGAAATATGGGACTGCATTATTGCTTTGAATGACTTTATTGAATCCCATTAGTGCATGTTGCTGATACACACCAATCTTTCTCTGACCTGAACACAATATTATGCGTATTTGAGCCAAAAGGTGTGCCAAGCAAATGTTCTTAGATTCCAAAGGTATTAAAGGAGAACTATGAGGTGAGTGCTTTTCACTCACCTCATAGTTCTAGCCGACCTGTGACAATGAGACTGTCACAGGTCGGCTCAGTAGATCGGGGGGTGAGCGAACACATACCGGCGTTCGCTCACCTCTCGATCCTGTCACGGCTCTCTGCCGTGACAGGGGAGGGGCTGGATTCCCCCCTCCACGCTCCGATCCGCCAGCGCTGACTGGCGGAACGGGCGGGGGAGGGGGCGGGTACAGCTGACTCTGCCTCTAGATAGGCAGAATGGCACCTTTGTCAGTATTAAGAACTCCCATAGAGGAATCAAAGTGCACTCTAAACTGATCCACCTCTAATCTTATCACTAATCTTATCTGTGGCTAATCAATGACATAACTGTATGCTTGTCCTGCCGAACGAGGAGTTAAACAATCAACACGGATTATGTGACAGGAATTTATATCCTAGCTTATAGCAATGAAGTTAAGTAAAGGTGAAATAAATAAAGTGCACCTGTCATTCTGAAGCAAACAATTTGCTGCAAAAAGGAAGGATGGAAAATAAACACCTTATTTTTCAAAGTTATGAAGTTCTTAGAGTATCTTGCAAGAATGATGCTAGACAGTACAATTTAGTAGATTTTAATACTGAAGTGTACTGTCTAAGAATGGAATTCGCCTCACTGAGGGGAGCTTTTTTCTCAATTCCTGCATTATGAGGATAGGATGTAAAGGGAAATTTAACCAGCATGATTCAGACAGCAATAAATAACCTAATAGGGTTTTTCTTTCCCTACTTTATCCAAAACTATATAAAAAAAGATTTGTCTATGAATACACTTTAATAGGCAAAGAATATGGAAGCACACATCATTAGAGTAAACCAAATTGCAGGGTCAAAGTACAGTCTGTTATGTGATAAGTATTATAGGTAGAGGCATTGCTATTTATAGGCTATTAACACTTAAGACGGACATATCAAAGTCTAGGTATGACACAGAGTTCTTCAGCTCTGAATCACATTGTACTGTCCTACTAAGTAAATGCTCCACCTTCATCTGTTGATGTAATGGTATCAAAGTGCAGCATCTTGTGTCTGTCCCCATAGTAATATACAGGCAATGAAACTGGCACAGGTAACCTGTGACTCTTTAAGGCTCTATTCACAGCCACAATTAGAATGCGTAGTAACTGTTGCACATTTTTGTCCGCACATACGAACGCGCAGGTTTGAATGTTCCACATTGGAATGCATTGAATTTTGTGTTTTGCGCGTTTCCGCCTATAGGGATTTTCCATTTTACTCATCCCAGGATTATGGTTAGTATGGCTATCATTCATCTTAACGCAAATCTATGTTTAGCCCTAGTAAGTCCCCCAACAACTTATTTACATGTATTGACTAATGTTGGGAGCAAGAGTGGGACTGAAGACTCTCTGCCATAACAGTATGAGTATACTAGTTGCCTTGGCAGCCATTCACCAACTACCAGCACTGTCACATGGTCCTTATATTATGACATGCCTGGTACATTTCTTTGGTTCCCGTTGGCCTAACAAGGTAGCAGTGAGGTGTTGGTAAGTATAAGCAGCGGGTGCAGCTATCATCAAGTGAAGAAAGCAAAGATTTACTTTAAAGCCCAAATGAGCTTCCCATTTAAATCAAATTCCCTGAAAACAAAGTCCTTGCCTCACCTTCTGCATCCCCAGCAACACCTCCACTGTTCCTGGACATAACACAGTCCCTGCTAATAACTTTCTAAATGTGAGTGTCTCCTTTTCAACCTTTTTTGTCCTTAATTCCACTGACACACTCCTCCGCATTATGGGTCCTCCCCACGACCTCCATGTTATGTAGACTGCACAACTATTGACACATTTCTCACCACATCCCCTGTCCCAGAATAAACTTCTTCAAATGCAGCCATCCATTTCCTGGACACTGATTCTGACCTCTATTTCTCCTCTGTAAAAACTTCTGTGTGAAAAGCTTGGTGCCCATGCTGCGACTTTATATTTAGTCAGCTTTGTGAATGGGTGCTTAAATGCATTAAGGGGAACGCTTCCCTTCCCCTGTCATTTACCTGTATAGCTATGATCATGAAAAGATTCACTGTTCTGCTGGCTGTAAAGTTTGAAAAAGCTAAAAATAAGAGAAAAAAAAATCTTTCACAGGTACTCCTGCACATTCATTATAATTTAAGCCTGAGTATTCAGATTCTTGCATAGGATCAGTTGTGTCTGTCTCTCTTTATCAATAATGTATTAAAGAAACAGAGAAACAGTAACATCTCTCAGGGGTACAAATGGCTTTAACAGTGACTGGGATGCAAGAAAATGCAACTACTGTATACTGCACCATTTTTTAATTCACCTTCCTCCTCTGTATGACTGTATGCAGATCTTAGTCATACAAAAATATATGAAACCATGCATTCCCGGATTTCCCCCCGAGGTGTGAATATATCCTTTAGCCACTACATGGTGCTTTGAATTTAGAAAGTATATGATGTGCAGCGCAGCATCAATTAGAAAGTACCACATACGGAACATGCTGGGCTGTCAGAATTTACACAACTCCTACCCACAAAGCCATAATGAGTCAAATGCCAAAACATATTATCCTGTTTCATGAGCTTATCGATCTCAGTGGGTACAAAGATGTTTATTACAGCATGGTCATACATGTGTATTTTGCAGTTTCTGTGAATCTGGTGTTTTTCTATGAATGTGAAAACCTTAACACGGATACCATTAAAGTGCTCACTTACTTTTTGTTCATGCCATCCAATGCTTTTGTGAGTTTGCCGGAAACCTTTTCAAGTCCTTTAGCATAACTTAACTCCAGGGAAGCTCTGTAAAATTCATTGTAAGATACTGTTAAAGAAAACCAAAAAAAAGCCCATATGCAGTCATCTCTGGAGTAGATACACATTTGTTGTGTTTTATTTCTTTAAATACTCTGCAAATACAGAACAATAGGTGTTGATCTACCATGAATACATCCAGCTCCTAAGTCAGGAATGGGCAACTCAGCCCTCCAGCTGTACTTTAACTAGAAAGTCCAACATGCCTATGGGAGCCATGCCTGTAACTGTCAATCTTGCAATGCCTCATTGGAACTTGTAGGTCCACAAAGACTAGAGGGCCGGAGTTGCCTACCCCTGTCCTAAGTCCTGTTGTGGCTGACAATATACAGCAGTTTTGTGCTCCAAGCTGTGCTAGACCTGCCCCCAGTTGTCCTTTGCCCCC